GAGAGGAGAGGGGCTGGCACCGGTGGGGGTTCGCCTTCAGCCTGGTGAAGTAGGTGGGATGTTGCCAGGCCGCCCGCCTCATGGCGCTGGGCCGCCCAGCGCAGGGCAGAGTACATGGCTTGGGGGAGGCAGAGCCGCTCTGTCCTCCGGGGGGTTCTGCAGTTCTTCTTCACGTATCTCTGGAGGAGATGCTTTAGAGAAGATTTCCAAAACTTTTGCCCTTTCCCACTGCCTTTCTTGTTGCTGCCAGGAGGATAATGAGGCCCTAAGGAAATGGTCAGGGGGGCCAACGGCCGGCAAACATCGTCAGGAAATAAAGCCTCAGCTAGAGTTTCCCCTTTTGCTTCTAGTCCGAAAGCCTCTTAGCAGTCATTCTGAAAAATCTGCTCAGACTTCGTTTTGTCTTCCAGACAATGCTGAAGTTAAAAAGTTAAAGCCAGGGGAAGGGGGGAAGGTTGCTATTGTTTGGGGTTTTTCCCCCCGACATTTAGAAATCCTTGCAGGCTCCCATCCCACATGCAAGTAGCTATAAACCATTCACTTGTTTTTGCAAAATTTTTAAATCTTCTCTATTTCGTCTTTCTTTATGTTTGTTTTCCAAGAGAACGTGTTGGCCCGTGGTGGAACGTTTCTTTATATCATAAAAAATGGACCCGGCAAATACTTAAGGATGTTTCATTTCACATAGAGAGTGGCCAGATTATGGGGATTTTAGGAAATTCTGGTAAGTTGTTCCAGTACTTTGAATGCAGTAAGACCATAGTTAATACTGGTGACTTCCACAGTGGTATGAATGTGACTGAGGTCTGTGTTTTAAACAGTGAAATTGCAGCTGGTTTTAACCCCTGTTTTGTAAAAATGTGGTGCTTGGTTTTCGGAGTTCAATCTTCCATCATATAACTAACAATTATAACTTCAGTAAAAGATAAGGTTACTTCTAAACCCAAACATTTCCCTGTGAAGTGTGAATTTGTATGAATTAAATGCTAATTTACACACATTCTGGGTTTCCTGTTTACCTCCCCTTAACTAACTGTGTTTTCAGGACCTATTATTTTCATGTTACTGAGAAAAAAAAAACTTTATGCTTTTCATATGTCGCCATCCAAGCGAGGCTACCACTCTGGAAATCATAAAATTCATCTCATCACATGATTAATTTATTTTGTTTGAAAGGATCTGGGAAAACAACGCTTCTGGATGCAATATCAGGAAGACTGGGACATGAAGACAACTTCTTTGGTGAAGTGTATGTGAATGGGCAACAGCTGAAGAAGGAACAGTTTAGAGATTGCTTCTCATATGTGCCACAGGTTGATTTCTACATTTATTTTTGTGCAGTCATCTTCCTCTCATGTAAAGAAAGTGAAGTTGGTAGTGTAATGGAGTTATGTAATCTGACTATGATTTTACTAGTAAATTTGGTACAAAGAGGTTAATAAATTATGTGAATGACTGAAAGTTGTTCAGGCAGGGGCAAGCTCTTAAGTACTACAGGACTAACTGCTTCTTCCTCTTCACCCTTTTTTCTAGAGTGACACTTTGCTAAGCTTCCTCACTGTACAAGAGTCTCTGACCTACACTGCTTTACTGACTCTTCAGAAAAGCTCCAATGACTTAATCAAAAAGAAGGTCTGTATTTATTTTATCATCTTCCACCAGAAAGGCAGACATGATGTCATGTAATGCTTTCACCAGCAGCATTTTCTGTCCGTGGCTATGTTTTGCATTTAGAAGGTTTTGTGATCCTGATTCTGCAAATGGGGAGAAATCCTCCTGCTGAGGAGTAGGTCACAAGCCCTCTGGCACTCCCCGCCTCTGCAAGGGGCTTGTGCTGACGCCCCAGGAAATCGGCATTGTGCTGGGACAAAACTCTCCGGCCCGAAGCCGCAGCAGTTACTGCTGCAGGAGATGCTGCTGTTGGTATTGAGGTCTGTTCCCCTTCCCCAGCTGGCAAACCCAGTTCTCTGGGGTGTTTAGGGCCATGTGTGCTGGCCATTCCTACGGACAGCAGAGGTGACTTTGGGCACTGCTCTGGCTCCTGTAGGACATCTCTCACTAACCACAACAGCTCTGAAAAGCACTGGTCCAATAAGCCCTCTTCAAGTTACTTTTTTTGTAAAATAGGTGTGTTTCAGATCTCTTAAAGGACTCTTTTTGGCCTCAGTTGAGAGTAAAGATTGGGTATTCCTGACCAAAGGCTTTTGCTCTCTGTCTTCCCTCTTCACCTGTCTTCCACGGAGTATATTATACTTCCCCGGAATTGATGTGCCTTTCTGCTTCCTTATTTTGGAAGCCAGACCAGCACATTATGCTTCATACCTTAACTTCTAGTACCACCTCTGACCTCTGCATCTCTTAATGTCAACTGAAGCTAAAATTCTACTCATTTCAGAATAAAATAAAATCTAAAAAATAATAATTGAAATAATGTATTAAAAATAATCAAATAGAAATGAGGCCATATACCTTCCAACTGGAATGGATGCAAGAAGCATATTGGGAAAGCCATAGCTTAAAGCTATGTCTTTTTTCTTTCATTTTTTCATTTTGCATACAGGTATTTGAGTTGGACGGTGTTTAGTCTTTCTAAATTGTAATTATTTTACAGGTAGATGCAGTTATGGCGGAGCTGAGTCTCAGCCACATTGCTGACAAAATAATTGGAAGCCGTACTTTTGTCGGAATTTCTGGGGGTGAGAGGCGGCGTGTTTCAATTGCAGCCCAGCTATTACAAGATCCCAGTAAGTACCACTGCACGGATTTTCAAAATAAAACAACGCAGTGTCACTTTGCGCTCCCACCATGGACCTCCATAAACCACTTCAAAATACAAAATCATTTGTATTCTGTAATTCAGTAAAAGCTACTCTAGTAATGACAGAAAAGGATGAGCAGTAACTCAGGTCTGCCATTAATCTATTGATTTGATCTTGGAAGGCAGACAATTTTAAAATCTTAGGGACTGAACATAGGTTTAGACTTCCATTTGTCTGTTTTAAGTCTTTCTGGGCTCGCCCTTCCTGTGTATGAAATGTTGGTTGTAGCACATTAATTTATAGTTTTCTGAGCGCATTAGAGCCATATATCTGCAAGCATTGAGCCTTGTAGTGGAGTAGCTGCCATTGAGCCGTGTGTGTGTGAGACGTTCCAGAGGCAAAAATGTAGTCAGCACGTGAGATGTGCTCATTTGGAAAAGATATAAACAAAACAGGGTAAATGCTCAGAAGTGTAATAGCCCTCATGTTGCATTGGCCATGATAAGAAACCAGATATTGATGAATACCACACTTCTATATGTGGTTGCACATTTACTGTACAGAAGAAAAAATCCGATTAATGAAAATCAAAGCAGAGTAACTAGAAGGATTAGCCATGGGAAACAGCACTGTAAATTTTGCCAGTTTTGAGATAGTTTCTTAAAGGTGCCAGAATCTTGTGGATTGAATGTATAGCACACATTTACTGGATTCTGGAGTCCTCGTAGCGGTACAGATATGCTGGGACTGCATACCAGGCAGGAAGGAGCATTTAAATAGCAAAAAATGAGGTGTATCACATGTACTGTAGGCTACTGGTGACTCCTGGAGAGTTCACTGGGTGTAGTTATTGCTCAATAAGTTCACTAAATTCTATAGTAAACACTATAGTAACTCTGCGTAGATAAACCTATAGAGAAAGCTCTCCTCCCCCCTTATCGTGATCAAGGTTGAACTGCCCTCTTTTGTGCTATGTGTCATCTCTGTAAAAATAATGGATTTGACTGTAACTTTTACCCTTCCATGTGCAATAAAATCATGAAGAAAATGCAGTAAAAAATCCTACCTCTCTCATCTGTGGAATTATATATGCTGTATTTTAACAACTCTTAATTTGCTCATAACAAATTCTGTGTGTGTATGTATAGATTTAATTCAGATTACAACTTACAGCTCATTATGTCAGTTGTATTTACATTTGTGTACCTGCGGAAAATTTAGCATTGTTATTCTTAGAAGCTGAAGTGTATATCAAATCTATTTTGGTAATTTTCATGTTTCACCTGGACTTAGAAAAAAATGATTATGCTCTGATCCTGCTGTAGTTTTTTATGTCCTTATTCCAAGTCACTGAAGCTAGCTAAAAATGAAAGACCACATCATGGCAATATCTATGCATACTCTGCTTTACATGTGGAACTTCACATGTAAAGTAATTTCTATATTATTTGCCAAATTGGCTTCAAAGGCAGAAGCTATAATGTTTGCTCCCCATTTATTTGAGTTTCAGTGCTATTTCTTGTCATTTCACAGAGGTCATGCTACTTGATGAGCCTACGACAGGGCTGGACTGCCTGACCGCAAACCAGATTGTCTCGCTGCTCTCGGAGCTTGCACACAGAGACAGGATTGTGATTATAACAATTCATCAGCCTCGCTCGGAACTCTTCAGGGTAAATGATATCTCCTCACTATTTGCTTTTTTCACCAGGCTTTTTAGTAACTAGGTTCTTTTCAGGATAGAAGTGCAAGGTCCAGTATAGTTGCCTTCACAGGCTCTTTTCCTTCGCCCCTGCATAAATACAGGCTTGTCTTGACAGCTCTGTCCTGCTGCCAGTCACGGGGCGCTCTGGGACACGTACTGCCCTGTGAAAACAGTGTGCGCACTGACTGTGTGCCTAACCTTTGTGTTAGGCAGGTACCCTCATCAAAAACACTGGGAGAAGCCATGTAAATCCCCCATGCATGCAGGCACTGTAAAAACTGGCGCTTTATTTATCTTTAGATTTTCTTATTGCAGTAACGCTTGCAACTTGAGACAGATAAAGCCGTGATTTGGAATGGAAAGGAAAAAAAAAAAGTGTTCTTTTTTCCTCTTTGTGTCAAGTGATGTGGGTACACCTTGGCCATGTGGTGGGGCAGGCCTGCGCTGCAGGGCTTGTGCCGGGGAGAGCCCTTCTCCCTTCCCGTTAATGTTTCGCACTTTGCTCTTCCGCCACATCCACCACCCGCCGTGTGAACGCGAGGCACCTCTTCCCTGGCTGGCTGAACGGACCGTAAGCGGTCACAGGCCAGAGGGCAGTGATGGTGGTTGTCCGGACTG